CTTCCAAATACAGACATAAACATACGTTTAAATGTCAACGGGCACATACATTCCTATGCTATTTGTCAAAATATACTATTTGTGCAATTGCCGATCATGCAAGTCTGTATTACCATGATCACGCTTTTGACGGTGTGCTTCGCAATGAAGAGCATAAACTAATTATTTAGTTATTTATTTATAACCGTAACGGGACTTTATGAACAAGATGCGCAATATACGCTTCATTTGACCTTCAGCTTTACCGTGGACCACACCAATCGTGTTAGACAAACTAGAATACGGGACGTTGCTTCTTTTCCAGGATTATCACATGCTTAAAACGGGGGTACGTAACTACTCGATCCCACTACCTTCTATAGATGCAACGATCGATGCACCCCACGTTGCACTCTGATTCCCGTCGTAGAATCTTGCATGTGACTATTTGCAAGTAGAACTAAGACACACTGATTGCGTGCAGACGGCTTTCACGGTTTGGACAGTATAGATAAATTTACAATGATCCCTTTTGGTCTGAATGTTGCACCGGCGACCTTTCAACGTTTAATGCAGAAAGTCTTAAGGGGGTCCAACGCCTGGCAACTGTTTAATTTAGTTGGATGATATAATAAATTGTAGAAGATAGTTGAGGTACATAACCGGCAGTCGCGCAGTATAGTCGACTCTGCGCGTAGTGGGTTTGGGAAAAAGAGGAAAAATACCACTTCCGTCGGTGTGAAGTTAACTAATTAGAGCAAACCATACCTTATGAAAGGGTGAGGAAGGAACACGCTAAAAGTGATAAAATACCTCCTAGTCACAATCTTCCACGAAGGCAGAAATTGAACGCTTTTTAGGACTACCTCCGCCCCATCGACGCTTTACCTTTAATTTCGCAGCCATCTCAGATCGCATACGTCTTTTAGCTAGGAAGGCGCGAAAGCTTGCTAGCTCAGCGCTTGTGAGAACGCTGTTACCGAGCCGCAAGGTAACCTTACTGCTCCTGCAGCCTTAGCTCTCCCTAGCACCTCACATGAGTCAGGAGCTTTTGCAGTAGATATAGATTCAAGCGCTGAGGCGATCGATGCAGTGCTATTGCAGGAACCGTACACTGGTCGTCTTTCGGATGAACACGGAAGACAATAAAGCACCACGATCAGAACGACTGGCGCTGGTTAGCTTCCTGTGTCCTTTTAGACCTTACTTAATTGGAAAATCATTTTATGTTCACACCGAGCACCAGTCACTTCAGTGATTAAAAAACCGTTCATGAGCAGCGGGGTCAAATCGTAAGATGGGACAAACAGCCACAAGCATACGATAGTATCGGTGGGAATCGTCCCGGGACACGACACTCTAGCGCAGTGTCGTTGTTAAGGATAGACAGTACCGGGCAGGACAATCGGAATTCCTTAACGTTAGAGCCGGCGTTGCGTAAGCTGAAGAGCGATCGTGTGGCCCCTACTAGCAAACGCATGCAAATGACAGCTTGCGGGGCCCCTAGCCTACTGCAGCTTGAAGGGCTCGGGGATATTCGACGGAGCTTTGTAGCATGTTAAAAAATACTGTCCGAATATGAGTACAAATGTGCGTCAGTTGTTGGAACACTGCTGCTCAATTTTCCTAAGAATTTTGTACACGTCGTTTTGCATCCTCTTAGCCGGAGAACAACTATGGCTGGTCCATACTCAACGATTCTGGTCCTTATTCACATTGGTTCGCTCAGTTGAAAATGGATTGAAAACAATGTTGTGTTTATCACAACTTACCTATCCGGCTGACTATAAGCCAACCGGGACAACTGTCGCTCCCCAGGGACCCCACCTCATCACCAATCCAGTTTAAACTAATATACGCCTGGACAGAAGGATATCACAATGGTTTACTGGACAAAGCTTGGTTACCTTAGAAACGCAAAGGCATTAACACTACCTGCTCCCCAATTCCAATTCGATTCGCTTCTGCACTGTTCATAAAGCTCACATTTCTTTATGTCAATTAGCACACTCTGCTTCTACACCAAGAAACAACTATACGAAATTGTTACTCTTAAGACGTGTGCATATGTCGCCAAAGCAAACCTCACCAACCCTGGCTTTGTCAACACATTTGTCTCTGCCTGTTCTGCCCACCGGCTCCATCTCCCATTTCGATGGCTTGACTATATGACAAGTGTTCATACGTAAAACATGAGACCATGTTCCTTTTTGCTTTTTTCAAAAATGAATCTGATCCAACCCAATAGGAGTATTCATAAAGTACTAAGCTTATCATACATTCACAGGCTTGCCTTGCTCCGTCGAGAATAGAATATTTCTTTATTTATAGTAGGGGACGCAGATTGCAGTTTTGCAACGTTGCGGTTGACCGGGCATCCACACTGATGGCATTAATTATTATGTGTCTTGTGTGTTCTGTGCTCTTTGAAGCCAACTGCTCCTGCACCCCTTGTCCCCTCTGGATTAATAGTAAATTCAGCACCAGCTCAACTAGTTGGATTAAACGTCTTTGGTCCATTGCCTACAATAAACAACGGGAATTGCTTCGTACTCGTTAAGATAGATTACTTAAAGCTGGTGTTAGGCAATAACTATAGTCTTCAAGAATTCAGCAACATTCGCCCCTACATTCGTCAACGATTGAGTGGCTCGTTACGGTGACCCAAGGTAATGCACTCCGCTCAAGGAGCAGTATTTGCGAGTCATCTAATGCAGGTACCGTGCCGCTTGTTGGCCAACAAAAGGTGCTGAACTACACCGTAGTAAGGCAAGGGAAACAGTATCGTTAAGGAACCAACGGGACCACCAAGGCAATGTTAGAAAGCTGCATCGAACGCTATCACCATAATATGTGTGGTGAAGCATTGGTAAAGTGCATGCTGGCCTATCGTGTACTCCACTGCAGGATAGGCTCCACTTATCTAACATGAGGTCCTGAGGTACATTTGCCTCTGACCTACCTGTCGCCTGTCTGAACGTTTGATGTCTACACCATATCTAAATACTTCCTTGATACCTGTAGTGCAATCCATCAGACGCTCACAGCTTGTAAAGTAAATAAACGGTGTGCAGTACCGGCAGTAAAAATAGTAGGACTGCCAAAGTCATGGCATTGAGTACCGAAAAAAGTTGCGGTTACATCAATCAAGACCTCCAGCCGGTACCCTAGGAAAATTCTGTCGGAATGTCGTATTCGTGTGCTCAACAGCTGTGTATGTATTTCGAAACGTTACAGAATGAACGCTGACTTATTGACCATCCATTACAGAGATAAGAAACCGTGGCAAGTTTTGCGAGCTTTCTGACTAGATAGAAGTTTGTCACACGGTTGGCTCCTGCTGGTCGCAACCTGCGCAAAAGTAACCCTGTAGGGACCGTCGCTGTGGTTCCCAATCCGCTGTCACTAAGGACAGCTAAACAAAGAGGATGTGTAGAGTAAAGTAAACCGAGGTGATTTACCTAAGTTAAGCGCTATAGTTAATGTGTTCTGTAATCGCCTTTAAGAGCCTGTTGCGTTAAATGCATGGCAACTGGACAGCTTAAAAGTCCAAGCTCACGTACCTGTTCAACAAGTGATTGTTGTTCCACCCGGTGGCGCGCGATAGCTAAGCTTTGCGTAATACCCCGGAAAGCGTCGGATAGCTAAAAAAACCGAATAGCAAAAATTGACGGGGTATGTTAGAGTTTGATCTACCAACAACCTTTAGGTACTAGCGCATCAATAAAGGAGGCAATAATCGCATGGAAATAGTATAAAACCTATACCTGCAACCAGAGCTTGGCGAAACTGAGGCTGCTGTGAAGTGTTATCAGTTGAAGAACGCGGGACTATTCTAAGGATATGCGAGTTTAATTTACTTGCATTTCAGTTATTGAGCAAACCTTTGTATACTTTTACATTTCGTCGTGTGTTTGTAGGTTTTCAAGAGTATTAAGTATATTATAGCATTAGCTTATTTCACATGTGCGTAGGCATTTGCAGTTAATCTATTCCTTCTGTCTAGTAGTTACCTTCTTACTAATAGAACCCATGCTCATAACTGAATAACTATGATCTAACTTTTGTAATCTGTCTTTTATACCGAAGCTGTTGATCAACAGCAGTTGCTCAATCATTATGCATGCGCACAGGATGCATGGCGAAACTGCCAGAAAATTTTAGTTTTGCGCATCCTATAGTTTCGACGTTCTGTACTACCCATGAGAACTTATAATGTAAATCCCCATCGGAGTGTTTGTGTGGGCCCGCGTAGAAAAAGCGGAATAAAATCAATGTATGAGAACACAGTATCGAAATAATTACGACTGACTAACAGCACAAAGAGGACATGCAGACACTGGATAGTCAGCTAAGTCGTAGTCTTAGTCGAGAAGAACAACCGAACGTCGGACAAGGACCTTTCTTCCAGAAACGCCAAAACCATTAAACTCCTACAACCAGGTTTATACAAACAACCATTTCGCAGTATAACGACGTCGAGGTAGATGTATAAAATCAAAGAGTCAAACGAATGTTAGGTTCACGGAAGCCAACTAAGTTGAAACAAACAGGTACTAAACGCAGCGATTCTGTTAAACAATCTAGTGCAGTTTCTAATACGTTACAAAATGGGCACTCAACTTTGGGTTTAACAGGTCTCGGCAATCTGAGTCCAGAGGTAAAACGGCGTATATCAAAATAAACAACAATAAAAGGTTAGGTAAAAGAAAAATATATAGCAAGAAAACTTCATAAGGAAATAGTGACTGAAAATATGTAAGCATACATTTCGCGTAGTGTTGCTCAGTGATTCGATGATCAATCAGCCCTTTCGTAACAGAGGAATAAAACAAGCAAGTCACAGCTAGACAACACACGTGAACAATTATATAAAGTACAATGTGTATAAATTACACAATTTTAATAAAAGCAATAAGCGCCAAGCAATATTCCTCCAATGAAAAGATATGCCGACTTTAGGGAGTCCTGATTTGGGGACCATTTGATTACAAAATGGCGGGTCCATTTGAATTTGAGCCGCATTGCATTCTGTAGTACAGCAATGCGCTGACACTTAACACTTCTTTGGGAGAAAAGTAACATGTGATATTTCTCGATGCAATGAATTTGTTAATTCTGATTTCAAAAACTAAAAATTAAGTTAGTTGTTGAGCCAAATTTAGTCTACGTACTCGTGCAAGTGAAATTTATGTGCTTTCATCTTTAGGAAAACCAATATCCAAATATATTTATATATACAATTAAATGCAGGTTTATATACCAAGCAAAGATCAGAACAATTTGTGTGCATTGTATTTAACTGCTACATCAAATTTGTACTGTAAACTTCATGCCTAAACAGTATTTTTCGATGTTGTGAATTGAAACGCTCCGCTGTCCAGCCAGTTACTGCCCACATTTTCCTCCCCAGCAATTCCTCCCAGGCCGGTTTATGTGAAGTAAGAAAGTGAAGAGTAGGCTAAGAAAACAAGAGGAGAAATGTCAACTAAATAATAGTAGTAACAAGGTGTCACTGTCGGAAAGCTGACCAGATTGTGGAACGTCCCTATCGCTACGCCAAATCCGCGACCTAGACTACTTCGCGTAGTCCTTTCTACCCCGGAGAAACGCAAGTCATTACTGCGATTTGCATTCATACTTAAAGGTAGTGGTGTAAGCGTTCAGCCGGACCTACCACTGGCAGACAGATTGAAGTTAAAGGAGGCTATCAGAGACCTCAAAACTAGACGGGCGGCTGGTCTGCAAGGCCTCCATCTGGTGGGTTTTCAGGTGGTCAGCCGGAAGTTAGCTTCTGCCCTAACAGAACCCATCCTGATGGCGCACGATCCAAGGATCGTCTTGCCGACTTCCTTGAGGTAATAGCAACGGGCGTGGCCTAAGGAACAAGGTGCACGAGTTGGGTCTACTTGTAGACACATCTCGTCCCGACATACTTGCTTTCACTGAAACGTGGTTGTCTCCGGATATCACGGTGAGGTATGTTTACCTGGCTACGCGCTGCTTAAAATTGATCGCTCCGTTGGTCGCCAAGGCGGAGACATTGTACTGTATGTGAGCTGTAACAGATGTGTTTAGGACCTTCACATTTCAGTCGTCGGATCAGACTCTTATATCCCCATCGGTTCTTTTGCGCACTTCCTCTACTCAGTTTATAGTTATAGTGATATACAGAAGTTCTTCCAGGGGGATAATTTACTTTATTCGCACTCAGTCTGCGAATAAGTGTTTAGTTCTAGGGGATTTCAACCTCCCGGAAGTCTGTTGGGCCGAGCTTTCTTGCAGTTCGGCATCAGGAACATCCGGTGTAGACTTTCTTGAACTGACCCTCCAAGTACCTTCGCACCAGTTCGTGGCTTTTCCCACTAGGTATATGGACAACCAAATACCATCTACCTTTTCGCTAAGTCCCTGGACTTCGTGACTAACGTTTCCTACGGTGCACCGCTAGGGTCCAGCGATCACATATGCATATCCTTTCGATGTGCTTTTCAAGGCACCAAGAGACCGCTGTTGAATTACTTCTGAATATTTGGCGGGCGGACTTTAGTGCAATGCGAGCTAAGGCTTCAGTTCTGAACTGTGAGATCTCGATGGCTGACTCTGTCCAGTTAGCCTGGGATAAATTTAAGGCACACCTTACGGAGGTTTCCACTCCCTTCATTCCACTCATGAGGAAAAGAGGGTTAAGGGCACAGCCTCCATGGATAGATACCACAGGCAATTACCTACTCAAGAAACGGTCTAGATGCTGTCGAACTTACCAAGCAGGTCCATCAGTCAGTACCTATGATAGTTATCGAGAGATTAGAAATAAATGTAAGCAACATCTCAGAACTGCTCGTCTCCAGTACGAGCAGGGTTTAGCGGACTCGGCCGCAGCTAATCCCGAGAAGATTTTTGCTTAGGTTAAAAGACGCAGCGGGGCAAAGCTGTCTGTACCAGCGTTATTGCGAGCAAACGGGACCCGTGCGCAAACTGACTATGACAAGGCTTGTATCCAAAGTGCTCAGTATACTAGGGTCTTTGCTCGAGAGACCTCTTTACCACAGACTGAATTGGTTTCAAAAGTCCCAGGGGATTCTTGCTTAGCTGAGTTTAGCATAACGGAGACTCAGGTCTTCGAGCCACTGCAAGGTATTAATCCCTCTAAAGCTTCCGTTCCTGATTCAATTCATCCGAAGCTGTTGCATGAATTGGCCACTGAGCTGAGTGGTCCTCTCACATTCGTGTTTTCAATATCGCTGGACAGCTGCATCCTACCTTCGGAATGGAAGGAGCCAATCATCTGTCCGCTTTTTAAGGGCGGTGACAGCGCTCTACCCGCGAACTACCGGCCTGTCAGTTTGACAAGCGTAGTAGTCAAGTTCAGATTTTGTTCTGTTCTCCTAGCTGAGAAGCTTCGTTGCAAACGTTTCATCACCAATCCTGGTGACTTCTTCAGTGCGTTATAAGCAAACTGAGTTGTTTTGTCGACTCCTACCGACGAGCGAGTGACATTTGAACTTGCTCGCTTCGATTCAGCTCCCGTGACCATTGCTAGTTTCGAGTTCGAGCGCCGCCTCTTTCCGACTCATGTGCCAGATGATCCACGTAAACTCTTTTCTCGCAGCTGCCCGTATGTCGGATCTAAATCAGTGCGTTGGTTTACTGAACTGACTGTAGAAAACCAAGCTTCAAGGAATTTCCCTTTTTGGTCTCTCCTTGCGCTATTATCTCCATTTTCTCCCAATCAAATATGTGCCCTTCATCACCCGAGCTACAGGTATTTCGATGTATTGCTGACACTTAGTAATCAAGTTGTTTGAAAAGCTGATAAGGGCTTCAGTGGAGAACCACCTGAATAGATTCGACCTTCTCAGTGTTGTGCAGCATGGATTCCGCAAGGGATTTTCATGTCAGACTAATCTACTTGTAGCTCGTGAAAGCTGGGCCGAAGCGGTAGACAGTGACCACGCTGCAGACGTGCTATTCGTGGACTTTCCGAAATCTTTTGACACTGTTCAACATCTTCGGCTCTCACTAAAGTTGAGATCTTACGGGATATCTGGTCGCACCCTTCATTGGTTGTCTGCCTTCCTTGAGGGGAGGGAACAGTGCGTACGGGTGGGGCGTAGCCTTTCGCTCAGTCAGGCTGTCCTTAGTGGCGTTCCGCAGGACTCGGTATTGGGGCCATTGTTGTTCGCGAGCTAGGTAAATGACTTGCCGGGAGAGCTAGGGGTGTCATCACTAAGGTTTGCTGACGATCTTAAACTCTGGAATATTGTGTATATCCCGGGAGGTCCTGAGACAATTCAGTATGCTTTGGATAGACTCTGGGAATGGTCTATCTTATGGTTGATGCCCATAAATAAGGCCAAGTGCCCTGTTCTCCGAATCGGAGCTGCTAATCCTCCCACCCGATATGTTGTCGGCGGTGGTGAACTCCCTGTTGTCACTCAGCAGGTTGATTTAGGAGTCGTACGCGCATCAGCACTTCATTCTGGAGACAATTGGAAGAAGGCTGCTTGTCGAGGGCTTCGTATGATGTGGTTTATCCGCCGCTCTTTCGGAATCCTAACGGTGTAGCGCCCTAAAAGATAACTGCTATCTCTCATGTACAATTTAATTTTTGACCGATTGTACATTACTCCTTCTTGTTTTAATCTTCCTTACAACCGGCTCGTCACTCGACCACCTTGTAAGTTCCCGCGCTCACTTGTTCGCTCTCGTCTTGGTTCATCCGTCCGCTTCTTATTGTAGCCCATCGAATACAGTCCGCTGTGTCCGACTCCAATTGCCTTCTGATATCCGCGCTTAGTTTCGCGCACCGTCTCGGACTCGTATTAACTAGTCCTACAACGGCCAATTTGTTTGCGAAGCTGTTCTCGGCATTCGTCCGACCCCACCTGAAATATTGTATTCAGGCTTGTCCACCATGTCTTAACCGAGACAAAAGGGACTTAGAGGGTGTTACGAGTGGGCACTCGGTTAGTGCAGGGCCTACGGGGACAGACGTATCCTGAACGCTTGCTCAGTGTTTGGATGTACTCAATGCATTACCGAAGGATAAGAGAGGACCTGATTCTCACTTACTGTATTTTGACTGGTAAGATTGGCCCGGACTTATCAGGGCTATTTAGTCCCACTATGTTACCTAATCTCCGCGGTCACCCTCTGAAACTGTATAAACCACGGTCTGATAGGATTAGAACAGAAACTCGTCTGTCGCGCCGAGTTATAGATCGCTGGAATTCGCTTCCAGATCATGTGGTTAGGGAACCTACGGTTAAGGGTTTCGCGCGCCAGGGTTTTGCGCCCCAGTAGGGACTGCTATGGCAGGATACGTGGGCACTAATTAATTGGACAGGGTGTGATGCGGTCTTTGTTTTAGGTCCATCAGTATTTCAACCTCCGCCAACTCCTGGTTCAACGACCCGCCGAAGAAGGAACACTCACGGGATAATCCTATTGTTCCAGTCCCGCATGAACTTGAAACGAACAGAAGGTTGAAAATACAAGTCGGTTAGAAAAAGTGGAAGGTTTGGTGCTGCCACCCAAGAGCATCTAACGCGTTCGAAATCCTCGTAGACTCTCTAGCAACGTGCTCCGGTAGCGAGTTTCAACGTTCAGTAACTCGGCGCGACAAGCGAGTTTCCATCCTTTCCCGGTCAGGACGTAGTTTGTGCAGCTTCAAGGGTAACCTCGGAGAATAGGCTGCTTGGCGAGACTAAACAGCCAGGACAAGTCTGGACCGATCTTACATGTTAGGATACGGTAAGTGAGGATCAAGTCTCCTCTAATTCTGCAGTAGTGCATTGAGTAAATACCAAAGGTAAGCAAATGTTCGGGATGCGTTTGCCCCTGTAATCCGCGCTCGGTCCTTTATCGGTAGCTAACAGTACCGCCCAGCTAACCACGTGAATCAAGCACACCATCCATTTAGCTCCGACACTTATTAGGTGGTTTTCCAGCTGCCTACGAAGTATCTTCTTTACTTTACAGCCACCTCCGGTCTAGTACGATCCACGGAAGCCCTCAGAACCTTCGTCTGGACACGTATTACACAGGCCAAAGGCGTTTCTCCCCTTGTATAAAG